GCTTTAACTAAACTCCGGTGCTCTAATCATAAGTTACACATTGAGACCGGTAGATATTATGGAACTCCAGTGGAAAATAGAACCTGTCAAATATGTATAGATGCTGTTGAAGATGAAACTCATTTTCTGGTAGTTTGTCCAGCATATAACCATATTCGAAAACCGCTTTTTGATCAAATTAACCGCATTGAACCACAATTCGAGTTCCTTTCACCTATCCGTAAACTTACATATATCTTTTCTCAGGATAACCATGAAATCATCCAAAGTATTGCAAGATTTGTATACACAGCTTTTCAGATTAGATATAATTTGTCAGTGTGAGTTCTCCAATAGATGAGTTGTATATGTGTGTGTATGTGTATATATATAATACTTTATTTTATTGAGGCGATTAAAGTCACGCCTGTAACTTTCGCATTGTAACCTGTTCCTCCAGGTTAGTGGGGTATATTTCTTTAGAGAAATGGAAATAAAATAATAATAATAATAATAATTTATAGGTACTTAATGTTGACCTCTCTCAGATTTGTTCATTTTGTGATAATATCTTCAATTCTCTAATTTTAGTGAATAATTTTGTCATTTTTGGTGAATAGTGATATTTTCAAGTTCTTGTTAAAAATCGCAAGTCCGATTGCTTTGATAATATACATATTGTTCATTTTCTAATGATATCTTCAGTTCTTTGATTGAAATGTGCATTGCTAACGGTGGAGCTATCTCAGCCAATAAGGCGCTTGTATACAGGGATGATTGGTTATACTTTTGTTTATGCATTTTGCTATTCTGATGCGTTTTGGGGGGGCTCACCATATGTTCACATTTCTCTGTTAGTTATTTTTGCTTTAGTGCAGCTTAGGTGGGATCTCTACCCGTCCTATTGGCAATAAACTACAGTGTATGTGTCATGAAGTAATAAATTATATTATGCAAATTTTCTATATAATGCATAGTTTCAAATTTATTGTCTTTTCTTGCTTTAGTCAATGTGCAAACATCTGGAGTTGACAAGGAGATGAGAGAAATAATATAATACCTGAAAAAAATATGCCACATGAAACATTTAATGATTCTACAATATATGAGCATTTGCATAATACAATATTATGGTTTTTGACTCCCATGTGCGAAGCACAAAATGGGAGTCTTTGCAGTTAGTGTGTCTGTATGTGTGTATGTGTGTATGTGTGTATGTGTGTATGTGTGTATGTGTGTATGTGTGTATGTGTGTATGTGTGTATGTGTGTGTGTATGTGTGTATGTGTGTCCGACTGTTCCACTGCTATCTCAAGAACCATACATCGGTTTTTGATGAAACT